ACAGCTTAACAGGGGTAGGTATTGTATGCTGAAGGAAGAATGCATTTTTCACAATAGATAGCTCTCTTGAAAACTATGTGATGTAGAAACCTAAGTGATGTAAAGTTAAGTCTCTTTGAATGAAACTATTTCCTGTAATTTCACAGATTTACCTATGTAGTATCTGTGTTTCCATTGTCTTATTTTTCTTGTTTTCAATGTCCTGGTCTAGCCTACAACCCTGAAATTTACTAATGGTCTCTCATCTGGTCTGATCCTGCTACATTTTTGGAAATAGATCAAGATTGCCGGGTGCTGCTAAATATCCAGGCAATATGATATAGCTTATTATTTTTGTTTTTTATATATGGCTGAATTTCTCATATTATAGTCACAGATCTTCCTCAAGATTTATGTTTTTTGCTGAAGCACATCCCATTTACTTGCATTCAATTTTATCACCACAAAAGAGTATACTTGCTTTTAAAAACTTTGAAATCTAGCTTTCTGTCCAAGAGATTCTCAAGCACGTTAGTAAAGTAATCCCAAGATAATCACATGCAGAATATAAACACAATTATAGCTACAATGAAACTGAATTAGTAATTGTTAGAGGAACAGTTTGCAACAGTAATGCATTTAATTCTGTATTTCATATAAAGTGATCCTGACTGTATTCTCTTGATTAGGAACTACTTTGTTGAATTATGTGAAGTTCTACTTAGTTCTGTAACCAACACATGAATCTTTCTGCATAGGTTTCACTATAATACAATGTTACTGCTATCATTTTGTTTCTTCCAGCCTTCTGTCTATGAACTTGTAAGACTTCCTAGTTTTGCTAGTTTACCAATTATTGTTGAAGATTTTTCAAAAGATGCTGGAGCTACTTTCAGTGGTATGTCATTTTAATATTTTCTGCTGACATAGATTTTTATTAATACTTGTTAAAATCAATATATATGTAGAATNATCTGGCTCTTCATTTTACCGACCTCGGAAGGAAGGAAGGCTGAGTCAACCTTGAGCCGGTGAGGATCAAACTGCCAAACTGCTGGCAGCCAGGAGTCAGCAAAAGTAGCCTGCAGTACTGCATTCTAACCACTGCGCCACCAGGGCTCATAACTAGCATCACACTAGCATCAACTTGCTTTCCTGGTGCTGAAATGTAATAGAACGGCAATGTGTTATAGAATGTGTTGTAGAATGGCAATCTGCAGTAAGAATTGCATAGCTACTCTTGAACTAGGCATCATTCGTTAGACTTACAGAGTCTCCCCTCTACTAGAGGTAACCTAGGCAAATGAAGCAGCAAAGCAACCACAGCTATGGCAAAGTTAGGGTGTCAAGACATGTTCAATTTGCCATGGCCACAGCTGCTCCTTCCTACAGCTTTAGAAGCATGACTTTACAACAGATGGGCAGGAAAAAGTGCCATCCAAGCCAGAGTTGGGACCTCCTCCCATTGCCACTGCTGCATCTCTACTTTCCTGTAGCTTTCCTGTAGCTTTAGACTTCAACTCCCAGAATTCCTCAGCCAGCATGCTGGATGAGGAATTCTGAGAGTCGGAAACCCACACGTCTTAAGACTGCCAAGTTTGAAAAACACCGCTGTACTTCATTTTTTTAAAAATCAGCCTAAAGATTACCAGGGTGATATTCTATCCCAGACCTGTCAAACTCACGACGTCACGGAACTTTTCCCCCATTGCCGGCAATGGGGTGGGCGCAGTTTCCTCGTGATGCGTCCGGCCCGTGGGCTGGCAGTTTGACAACCCTGCTCTATTCTATCAAATAGTGTGTGAGGTACAAACCAGACAAAATAAGGTGGAGGGCTGCATGCATACTGCAAGTTTGAAATCCTGGTTTAGATAATACCATATGTGAAATGAACTTTAACATGTGATGGTCATTTGTCTTGTCCTTCTTTATCTGCAAGAGAAGGAAGTGGCATCCAACCAGGAAATTGACTTTTCCTCCTTTTTCATTATATTGAGAAAGCCCAAGACTTACCTTGGCTCGACTTTATCCCTCTAATCTTCTAAAGGCCTTTTAGAAAGTCTTCAAACCTTCTAAATCCAGGTTTGAGCCAAGGCTGTTAAACATGAATACCTACACCTTACCAATGCAGGATTCAATTGTGAAATTTCACACATTGTAAAGAAAGAAAAATAAGCAAAACAAAATATTTTCTTATTAATTTAAAAAAATAGGTAACATTTTCCTTAGGTTTTTGAAAAATGATACATCATTACAAGTGTAAATTAAGATGTGAATGTACATTTCCACTGCAGCCAGCAAGGTAGATGCAGTTCATGTCGTGCTTGACAGACACCTTGTCACTGGACAAAATGAAAATTCTACTGTGGCAGCTGTGCAGAATCTTATTTTTCTCTGCAATGGCAGGTAAGAAAACACAGGTGACATTACTAATAAAATACAGAATTTTTGCTTTTGCAAATGCATCCCTGCATCACTGTAATCAGCTCTGGTAATTTGTGCCAACATTCTCCACCCCTACCTTGAAATGGAATCAATTTGAGGTTGTTGCTAGAAATTTGTCAATTTGAGGTTGTTGCTAGAATAAGAGGTAGTATTCTCAAACACTTTATTCCTTAAATGTATCAAATGGAAATCTTTCTATACTGATTAATTCAATATAATGTTTCTTTCAGCAGAAAATGACGGAAATATCCCTGTGACTGAGAGAATAAATGAACATGGAAGAATTATTTGACTTGTGAAAACTGCTAACCTTTCATTTATCAACCAATAGAGAATACAGCTGATTTCTAAAGGTGGCATTTTGTAGCTCAAGAACAAATAATATTCTTAAATCTATATAGTAAGGCTTGCCTGTTATCAGATGTGACAGTATTCATAGACATTCATTGTTTGTATGAGTCTAAGAATAATATATTTTCTCCTACCTCCCATTTTCATAAACTAAGGATAAATTGATTTGAAAGATTTCAGTTACAGTTCCCTGTGTTTCTGAACTTCCATCAACTGTAGTCTGTTTAAATCATTTCTTCTTAGCTAAGTTCCCCATTGTGCTTGATCTGGCAAAACCAGTGTAAGATATGGGCTGAGTAAGTAATCTGATAAATCAAGGCTGAATCTATTAGCTCCATGTTATCATTTCAGATTGTGAATTAAGTTTCAAGTTATGGGACTATATAGTGACTTTCTCTTTTCATATATAGGAATACATGTTGTAAAGTTTACAGTGAGAGATATTAATACTACTAATAACAAGTGAACTTCAAGAAAAGGAACAATTAACTGTAAAAATAATTTTAAAATGGGATAGGTTAATTTTATTTAATAGAGTTAGTTAATGTTTTCCATGTGTTCATTCGTTGTAGCATGACAATAGTGGTTCATTTATTTTGCTTACTATAGAAAGCTTTTGATTGATTAAATTTTTACTTCAGTTTTGTTTATGTTGTGTAACTTCATGATAGTGATTAACCATATTTGTGAATATAATTTTTCAATTTTATTCTTGAACTAAGTCATTGACAATGTGAAGGATTCGCACTAGCTTATTAATTATATTCAAGTTGTAGGTTGTAGAACTTATTTGTTAATGGTAGAAATAGTACCCTGCTTGCATAGATTATGTACAGCACAATTTTGACTCAAGACTGAAGAAGTACTTGAGATTTTCCTGCAAACTAGTTTGAGAATCAAGGGTTAGATTCCTATAATAGACTAAACACACCAGCCAACCCCTGTAGTCTAGTGTGAATCTATTCCATATGGTTACCTTAAAGATTGTGTAAACTCAGACAGTTTGGTTGGGTAATGCAGACAGTCATAGAGTAGTTTTACTGCAGCACAGGAACCAGAGGAAGGATGCATTCCATTATTTTTTAAAAAAAAAGCAGACTACCTTGTCCAATGCATTTGCGTGCAACACCAAAAGAAAAGCAACTTTTCCAGAATTACAAAACTTAAAAAGTTTCAATAGTACTTGAGCTCTGGTTTTTTTTAGATTCCATTATAATACCCGACCAATAAGAAAAGAATAGGTAGCCGAGGATTGAACTGTGGATTCATCCAGAACAGTGCTCAATATTGATGTTACTTAGTCAGATAATGAAACATCTGCAAGCAAACAACCACATTCAGAGTACCAAAGATTTCAGTGTATAATACCCAAGGTTTGCATTTTGTAGAAATTGTTCCATTGTTGCCAAGTGGACAGCTTAGGGGGAAAAAAAAAACAAGTTAGAGGAGGTTACTGATGTATTACTCCCAAGTTGCTATCAGTAGTACTTTAAAACTACTCAGAACACCTCTTCCTTGCACAAAAAGAATATTGTCAGTTAATAAAGCAGTATAAAAATATATGGACACAATCTACATTCAGATTATGATGGGAAAATAGAAATGCTTAATGAAATACATGAATTGACTCATGCTGCCCTTAGATACTACCACTATACTTGTTCCTAAGGTGCTTTTTTTTCCCTAAAAGGCAACCGGACTGACTTTGTTTTTCCAGGAAGACATTTTGCTTCTTATCTAAGAAGCTTCTTCAGTTCTTACTGAATGGTGGGAAATGAAAGGATTTCTATTCCTTGCAGTCATCTGATCATCATCTGGTCACCACTATACTTTTAAATCAGAACTATGCCAGACTGAGATCTCCTCCCCAGTACTGCCCTTAGAAGTCTGACAGGGTTTGATCCAAAGAAATAGTGTACTATTAATGGCCATTTGAAAAGAGCTTTGCTACTGTTTGAAACTCACATTTAAAATGGGGGAAGGTACTGAAGATGTTCAGTGCAGCTGCAACAATGCCTCAGATTCTGAGAAAAGCAATATCGGTTTAAAGTTTAGGCATGTGGGCAAAGAAGCAGACAGGAGTATGACCTAGGCCAGGCAACGTTGGCTCTTTTGTGACTCGTGGACTTCAACTCCCAGAATTCCTGAGCCAGCATGGCTGGCTCAGGAATTCTGGGAGTTGAAGTCCACGAGTCATAAAAGAGCCAACGTTGCCTACTCCTGACCTAGGCCAAAATATCACTAAGCATCGAAACCCTAGTTAGAGATTTGGAGATCACAAATCAGAGACAAACAAAGCTGCTCTATCTTGGGGAGAGGAAGCAGCACAGTAGCAACAACAGCTGGAGAAGGAGACTGCATTATAATTTAGATTTATATCCCATCTTTTGTTTGTACAATTCAAGCTTTTCCATATTTCTTCCTCCTATTTTTCCACCACAATAACCCCGTGAGACATAATTCATTCTACAAGAATAGGAGGGAAGCTCCTCATAATTCTAAGAATGGAATGTTCAAATCTTACAGTAATTTTGTTTGTAAAAATAGCATGTACACATCCTTCAAACGGAGGACTTGCCTCAACAGGAGTCAAGAAATCTGTATAAAATGTATGTTTTATTCTTTTGGAATGCACCCATACATCAGCATGTTTTATCATTATTAGTAATAGTACCTTGAAAAAAAAAGCTAGGCAATTGGTCCTTGATGTATCTGCAATATAGTGAAGAATAAAAATATTGGTAATACAGAATTGTAATATTACAATCCTGATATATAAAAGCACAGCAGACCTGAAGAATTTTTCTCTGCAAATTCATATAGAAACCTGTGACTACAGAAAATCTTTTCGTATGCAGCATGTAAATCTTTACATCTATATAGCATCCATAAAATTTGGCATGTCTACTTTCCATTTGCAGTGCCGAACATCCGTTCCTAAAAAAGGAGAAAAAATACAAAAATTAACAGGCACATTGGTTGCAGACGTTTTAAGAAATCATTGCCATTTAATGTACAAGAAGAGATTGGCAAATAGGATTTCACCTATTTAAGGATGAAGGTAGTAAGACCAATACAGAACATGCAGTGGCATTGAAAATCAGAAAATAACTTGCAAGTTATATACAGTTTAGCATTTATCAATTTTGAATTTATATACCTGCAGTCTGTTTAAATTTCAAGTTAAAAAGTTATAAAAAGTGGAGTTATTAATACAGGGAAAGGAGAAACCAATTTCATTTTGATTATTTTCTTTGAGTTCAAGAGAGGAGCATTTAAGATTTTTTTAAAAATTCATTAAATGTTGAAAATCCATGTGCTAGTTTTGAATGTCACATGTGAACATCTACCGATCCAATGTTAATATAAACAGTTAAAAAAATATCCAATTTATAAACTTTAGCACTGTTAAGATACTTAAATTTAGGAAGTTTAACTTATCAAAGATATTCAGATTTATAAAAGAAAAGCACAATAGTTTAACCCTAGGATCTGCTATGTAAGAATTTACGGTGATTAGTTTTAAAGTGCATTTAATCTATATGGAAAATAAATAAAATCCATAATAATAAATGGATTATGGGATCAACAGGCTAATTACAAAACAATGCACTTATACTTTAAATCTCTTCACCATTAATTTGCTATTCAATTGATTTTATATTTAACATTAGTATCATATATGAAAACGTGCAACACAAAATACAAATAAACTCAGGTTGACATTTACATCTGCAATACTTGTAAAATGTACCATTTGAAGGAACTTTGGAAATATATTAAGCAAGATAAGAAACCCTTAATTTTGACCTTTATCATGACTTCCAGTTTAACTGCATCAGCAGCAAACTTTCTGATTCCATCTGACAGTTTCTCCTCAGCCATTTGGTCTTCATTATGAAGCCAACGGAATTTCTTTTCATCCAGGTGGATCTTTTCCAAGTCAGATGCCTGAGCTGCATTGAAGATGATAGAAGTAACAAATTATGGGAGTAGGCAATGGTATACTTTATTATTATACTAATGGTACAGTTATCACAGGGAATCCTGAATCTCAACATCTTACAGAAACCATTCAGTTAACTAATATGTGGGTATTGATATTATCCTTTGAGTGCCATAGCAAAAGTCTTACATATTCCTGAATAGTAAATATATAAAAAAATGCTGATGTACAGTATCTCTGAGACATTGGTTTTTCAAAAAAAAAATGAACTTATCTATTGAGTACCGAAAGGATTAACAGCTACACATATACAGCCCTCTGTAAATATTTAAGTAAACTTAAATCTTACACATTGAGAGGATGTGGTAAAAGAGCATTGTTAAACTTTTTTATTGAGCGGTGTTTGTCTACCCTACATGTTAGTAAGACAGAAAACTTACCATCTTTGACGTTCAGCTTTGGTGTTAGCTTGCTGTTATCTTTACTGAGCTCTCCCAGAAGTTTAGGTGAAATAGTGAGAAAATCACAGCCAGTCAGTGCTTTGATTTGTCCAGTGTTCCGAAAAGAAGCTCCCATTACAATAGTTTTATAGTCAAACTTTTTGTAATAATGATAGATTTTAGTGACACTCTTTACCCCTAAAAGAGAATATAAGGTAACTATTTAAAGCAATTACTACTTTATTCAGAAGCAAAGAAACTCTCAGAATGGCTTATTTTCAAATACTAAATATTTCAGGTTGATTCAATTACAAAGTTAATTTCTTAGCCACATTTATTCAGTTACCTGGGTCCTCTGATGGCTCATAGGTTTTTTTGTCTGTATTTGCAACATACCAATCCAGAATACGCCCAACAAAAGGAGAAATGAGGGTGACCCCTGCTTCTGCACAAGCAACTGCCTGAGCAAAGGAAAAGAGCAAGGTCAGATTACAATGAATCCCATGTTGCTCTTCAAGAATCCTGTAAGATAAAACAGACCAGAATTATTTTTCCTATCAGTATCACTTCTGTTATATATGCAATTTTATTAAATACTGTATATACAATTTTATTTTGAAACGCGTTACTTTTTAAAAAATGTCTTCTCAGTGAGTCAGGACCCTTTGTTTTCTTTGTGGTTAGTGGGATATGGGCAATATGTTATGCTAGCTTGCAAAGTGGTCTCTGCGTTATAGATCCTAGCTTTCATAGAATAGCATAAGCACAATTGGAATAAAATAGAATTTCAGTTTTGCTTGTGGCATACAGAGTAAAACATGCCAAGATGAACTGGTATTATACATATCATTAGGAGGAAAGGCTACTTGTGACATGGATGTGACTACTCCTCTCTCTCTTATTAAAAAGTGTTCTGTGAAAGCTTTGACTGATGAAACATGATGGGAATCAAAATCTATGGTCTCATCCAGGGCTTTTTTTCAGCCGGAACGCGGCGGAACCGCGTTCCGGCACCTTTTTCCGGGCCGGCCGCACCGGAAATAGCCCCTCCCACACCGGAAATAGCCCCTCCCAAATTTTACTTGCATTCCTGTTCTCTAAAGGGGCGGTCCTAGGGTTTGATGAGGGCGTGGCCAGGTTTGAGTTCCGCCACCTTTTCTCCG